CTTTAAGCCATTCATAGTCTTCTGGTTTTGTATTATACTCCATTCCCTCCCACCTTTTTCCTATTCCTTTTTTCTTCCAAACTTTCCTATTTTCGGAGCTTCCATGTTCAGTCTTAGTTTTGATTCTACTGCTTGTTGGCCTTCTTTCGACCTCTTGATTAAGCATCTGATCGCTCCCCTTCTTCGGTCTGCTCTCCTGTACTCCACGCACCACTTCTGCATAACTTCTGTCTTGCTTTTTTGGGGCAACATCATGATACTCCCTCCGCTCCCCTTCTTTTTTCTTCACATCATCATATCTTGGTGTGTTCACCCATAGCTTTTGGCTTCCAACCCAGATCTGATCAAGTTGCATTTCCAGCTCCCTTCTGTTCCTAACATCTAAAAACCTCACGAACCCAAATCTACTCCCATTTCTGCTTCTTCTGTTAGGACTATAAATGTCATACACCCTTCCAAATTTTCGAAAAGTTCTCCACATGTCTGCATAGCTCCAGTCATCCGGAAAGTTAGAGAAAAAGTATGGTGTGGCTTGCTTGTATAATCCTTTGTCATAAGCACCCTCGTTCTTCCACATCCGAGTCTGGTTCTGATCGTGATGCCTTTGCCTCCGTTCCACTGTTTCCCACCTTCTGGTTCTACTTCTACCCCGAGACCCTGCACGCTCTTGATTCAGTGTCGTCCGCCTTGCTAGTGACCGTCGTCCGTCGACCACCCCTCTCTCTCTCTCTCTACCTCTCTCTCTCATACTGCGGTGTGAATATTACTTGATCTTGTACTTGTCATCCTTTCTTGACAGCTTCCTTTCATTCACTGCCCTGGCACAATTAATCCCGCGGGTTATGGAACTAATCATGAAAAGTAGAAGTGCATCCCTTACCTTTATTTTGAACCAAGTAATATATTTCATGAATTTTCTTCTACATATATACCACAGCTGCCTTTTAAGGCCAATTTCAACGTAAAATGCTATCAACTGGGATGTTAAACATGTAATTATGGGAGGCAAAAAATTTATGTAAGGGCTTTTGATCAAGTCTCAATCATACTCAAGAGTTTATATAGTTGGAGTGTACTGGAAGATGATTAGTTTGTTTTCCCCTACAAATGTATCTAACTATTTCTTTTAACTAATTGTTCTAAACACACATGGGTAATATATATTGTTCTCTAATTTATCACCCAATTAACAGATACTTCTCAAGTAATGATATAATTTAGAGAGAGTCAAAATATCTAATATCTTAGATTTCTACTTTTTCTAAAGTTAAATTTTCTCTTTTGTACTTATGGTATTATTTATTAAGAGATTATATCATTCTTATGCCACTCACTGTTGGTTTAAACACATAATTTGATCGCATATATGAGATTAAATACTCAAAATAAAGGTTATATAAATATATAACAAATATATATATATATATATATTTACCAAACACTTGAAATTATGCAAACACTTAGTGATGAGTATAAAGAATGAAAATCTAATAAGCCTAATATCATGCAACTAAGAAAATCATTAAGGTAGATTTCTAGATGCCTCATAAAAGCATACATTCATATATTCCTTCAAACACACTTAGGCAACATTTAGTTTAATTAGCCAAGCACCAATGAATTTCATATACTCACTTCTATAGGATATATACTACAAGAAATTAAAGATTTCTTAAGTACTTTGGGCAGTCTCAAACTTTTGTAGCGAAAATTGGTAAGTTTAATACATTTTTTAAATCACATGTGATATCATACACCATATATAAGAAATGGACAAAACTAATGTGAGATTTAATTTCTACTCGTTAATATGTAAATTGAAATGGTGGCAGGCTGAAAACAAGAATAACAGTTTCTAGTTACTAGCAGCAAAGCTTTTGCAAACCCTAATAGACATGTTTGAGAAAGGCAAAATGCACCTAAATGGATTTGTTCCAGCAGCAAAGCACATCATGAGAGCCATTCTTGCTATTTCATCAAAAGAAATGAACTCAAAGACAAGTAGGAGAAAAAAAAAAAACAAAATCAAAGCAATTAGTAAGATTTCCTAAAGGAACTTGTGGAAGAAACCTTAGCACAAAAAGGATTTAAAAAATACAAAAGGGTTAAATACGATTGACTAAAAACAGAAAAGAGGAACAAAAACTAAACTTACAAAATCTGTTATATGATTAATATATATAGTAAAAAGAAATAATTAATTGAGCAGCTTTGATAGTATAATAAAAAGAAGGAAAAGAAAGAAAAATGAACATACTCGGAGCTTGAGAACTCATAAAGTCTTCCTTTTTGTGAGAAGATGATAGCTGCAACTTCAACATCACAGAGAACAGATAGCTCAAAAGCTTTCTTAAGCAGCCCGTTTCGACGCTTGGAGAAGGACACTAGTCTGCTTGCTGCATTCTCGATCCTTTTCATCACAACTTTTCCTCTCCTCATCTTCTACTTCATCATCAGAGCCACGTCAATCAGTAACCTTACAGGAGAATCAGATTTTGTTTTTTGTTTTTTTTTATTTTTTAAAGAAAAAGTTACACAAATACTCACCAAAATTGAGCAAAGTCCCCAGATATATATTGAGTACCTACGCAATGTGTAGCTGATACTAAAGTTTCAACCTTTACAAAGAAAAATTATAAATCTTGAAGAGATTAATAATGGCAACCCAGAGCAGCGTTTTAGGAAG